GTGGTACGATGAGGTCTTTCTTTTGTCTTGTAAATACCCGCGCGGCATACGTTTCTGCTCCGCACGTCGGGCATCTCTTTTGTTTGTCCCTTTCGCGGCGTCGCGTCGCGTCGGTGATAGCGTGGCAGCAGGCAGCGTGCGCGCGAGTGAGAGTGAAGTTAGTTAAGTACCCCCCCCGTGTTGCCCCCCCTCCCCTCTCTGCCCGTCCTACCGTTTGCTGTTCCCCTTCTGTTCCTCTTCTCTCCGCGCGAGGAATGGCATCTGCGCATTTAGAGGCGAAAGAACGAAAACAAAAGAAAAAGGGAAAAAAACGAAAAGGAAACAAAAGAAAACGGACTAGCTGGGACATACGTACTCTCCCACATAGTGAACTCCCCGTATTTATAGTTTTCCGTGCGTTCACGTACATTGCACTCGTGGCGGATTGCATATCGGCGATGCGTAAGGTGCGTGCGCGCGTGAGATCTTGCGAATCGTGTAACGGGTCTACGTAATGCTCGCACGCATCGTTATTCGTTACGCTCGTACGCTAAAATAAACGAATATAACGTACTCACGACGAGGAGAGGGAGAGAGGGGGGGAAGGAAGAGAAAAAGAGACTTGCTACGTGCGATCGTCGCGGGGGCCACGACATTACTTTTACTCCTGTCTCCTGCCGCGTTCAACGAGGCTCTTGCGATTTAGCTTTCTTATCTCTTCTTCGAGGATTACTCAAACTTCATTTTCTTGTCTCTTTTTTCTCTTCTCGCGATCGACGAGCCTCCGTTATCCCAGTATCGTGGCTTGTTAGCAATATTTGTGTTTACCTTTAATTAAGCAACGTCGTCGACGATAGCAACAATCGGCAAATCAATGTATCGCATCGCTCAATTGGAGAAAGTACTTCGTATTTGTATGGCGGGAGAGAAAGAGACAGATAGACAGAGGGGTGGAGGGGGAAGGGGGAGGACTACAACTGCGGTCGTATCCTCGCGCTGCAATTTGCAGCTGTTATTCTCGACAAATGATTTCATTTTTTTTTTTTTGTCCAAGAGGATCAACGTTAGTCTGTGGAGGATAATGAGTGCAACGACCCTCCGGTGTGAAATTGCATTTTATAATGAAAGGATGTGTGTACGCTCGCCCGCTGGTTTGTTGCGAAAGTCCGTTTTCCTCTTGATGATCCGATCACGATCACAATGCGATCGGGTAACGCGACACGGAGAGTCAATTAACTTAAGTAAGTGCGCGGCCATGCGTGCAATGCGCACTTCTGTTTAAACGAACAATTTTGCTTGCAAGTGAACGCATTCTTTTATCTTCAGGACCTCAGCTTGCAGAGATCGAGTATCATGACAATTTTAGCACGCGAGAGACGAAGGGTGCTTTCCATTTGATGACACAAGTCGACACAAATATCGTTTTGTCTTTGTCACTCTCTTGATGTCAAGAAGGATAGAACGATGCTTATGTCGACTTGTGTCGATTTGTGTCATCAAATGGAAAGCAGTGGAAGATGTCTCGAGTACAAATTATTGTTTAGCGGTTTACATAATAGCAGCACGTTATTTTGTAAACAGCGCATTTCCGCTTACATAATTATAGAGGAGAATATTAGCTAGAGTATTTTAATCTTTTACCCCCCTCCCCCCTCTCTCTCGTTCACTCTCTTAAATTTTCTTAAAGTTTCTTAATTTTTATTTCATTTTTTCTTTCTATTGTTTTTTCTTATGTTCTTTGTTATTTTCGTTCTTTATGCTTATACATTGAAAAAAAACTAAATTTTAATAAATATTTGTTAAATAGTTCTAAGTAAATATTTACTAAATGTAAACTTTACATTTATTTGATACGAAAACCATTAATTTGATTTAACTATTTTTTTTGTTGAGTAAACAGTTATTTGTTATAAATAAACTTTACTTAATACTATTTAAAGAAATTGTATGTGTGTGTGTGTGCGCGTACTAAGATTTTTTCAGCTTGTTTTTTTATATGTTATACATATATAAAAGATCGCCCTCTAAAAAACGCTTATTTAGCTATCTTTCTCTTTCTCTGTTCTTTCCGTCTTTTCTTTCTTCTAGCCGAAGAATAATTTGTTTCACATGTATGTATAAACCTATTACATATAATTATTAACTATGACACATTAAATAATTATTTATACGTCGTTTATTTGTAATTTAATTAATTGTAAATAATTAATATAATCCTATTAAGTAATCTCTCTCTCTCTCTCTCTCTCTCTCTCTCTCTCTCTCTCTCTCTCTAAAATCATCTTTTTTTATTGCATTATCCCATAATTCCCTTGTTGATCTCTTCTATACGTATTATAGCAAATTGATTGAATATTATCATGATAGTTTTCCATTATGCCTGAATTATGTATACTCGCACTACTTTAAAACTCAAAAGATATAAGTGCAGATTGAAAAACAGGCTAATTGTTTACGTTGCCGTACGTGAGGAAACTACTTTTTACGATCATGAATATTATACTGTTTGGAGATTGTCGTCGAATAAAAATACCTTTCCGCATTTGTGTGTACAAGGACAATGAGGCAATGCGCACTTACACCTTTTTCGACCACGGTATACGGACGATATGTTATATCATACACTTAATCAGATTTTAGTACGCTCGCAGAAAATGGGAAATTAAAAACAGTTCGTAGCTACAAGAGATATTTTTTAATCTCTTTTGAAATCGATTGCTCGTTGATGTTGTTGATTAATTTAGATCTCGGCACTGCAGATATCCAGAGACGCTAGCCGAATTTGTCAAAAGCAGCAATTATGCAAAATCTCAGCTGCAAATTTTGTTGATAAAACGCCAGCGTGAATACAATACGATTTCAAATATTTAATAATTAGGCCGACGTTATTTGTCATCATTTTGACGTGAAAATAACGTTAAAGATGATTTTTACATTAAAAAGACAAATAGCTTGCTATCTGGGATTTTATTAATATAAGGCCTGTTTTTTTTACCTGAACTTCTCATTTATCTTTTCTCTTTTCTTATCTATGAAAGAAAAAGAAGAAGGATGAACTGTGCGAGAGAGAGAGAGAGAGAGAGAGAGAGAGACGTTGAACTGAAAAGAACAGACCTACGATGGCAACTTGATTGCAGAAAGTTGAATCTACCATTTCGTAATCAAACCATTTAAACGATTTATGGCCCTTTAAATTTACGAAATGACTGAACGTCTGCTCGGTTCCTGCTGGCGATCTGTTGTCAGATTATGTCAACAGGCTCTGCTAACACGAGCTGTTTAATGCAGACGTGAGGTTGTGTGTGTGATGCCGATCAGCTGCTCGCGCGACCTGCTATAGCATATTGTTAACATTTTATTTATTTATAGGGATTTTAATTTTTTACTATCTTCCATAATGCAATTTCTACTTTCATATTTTAGCGAAAATAAGGGAGCGTACACATTCGAATATAAGGGTAGATTAGCAGAAGTGTAAACAAAATTTCTATAGGTAACGAAAATTGAAACATTCATTGAAATAGGATGGTCAACAGTTTCGAATTTTACGGGACATCTCGATTTTCAGCTTCTAGAGGCGTCTTGAAAGTTGAAAGAGGCTAGACGTAATACCATGTCTCGATTTATCATACAACGTAAATTAATATAAAATTTGTTAATATATTAAGGTACGTTTTCACAATATATGGTTACCTAAAAATTGAAGGTTACCAAAAAATTCATACATGAATTTCATTGATGAATCTCTTGGTAACTTTTAATCTTAAGGTAACAATACATATATTGTGAAAACGGGCCTATAATAAGGGTCTATTTTACTAATCTCCGGTTAAGTTAACCAACGGTTTTGATTAATTTAGTTAATTCTTTCAAAGTATTTTTATAATTCAACATATTGCATCTTGTTAGCATATTCTGTTAGAACTAAAAATGTAGACCAAACAGGTACAAGAGCTCACTGAGCTCTCAAGTGAGCGCTCTGAGTAGTTGTAGTACTAAATGCACCCATTCTAATTTGAAACATAAAACAAACAACGTTTTAAGAGGAAAAACGCTTCTTTTACATTCTGATGTCCTGCTTTTCGTTTACGCTTCTGCCACTCTTTCTTTTGGTTTTATACAGTGTACACTAATCTTTTACATATAAACTGCAGCATGTTTTACAAAAAAGATCATTTTTATATCTTGATGTCCTGATGATGTCACGAATAAAATGCTGCTGATGAGCCATTTTGATGTCACGATGATACGTAAAAAATGGTCACATATATTAATGTTTCCGTGATTATAAAACCCGACAATGTAAGATTAATTTTAATCTCGATTTAACTTATCGTTTATAATTTTCTAATTTTCAAAATTAGAAGAAAAAAAAAGAGAAAATTGAACCGAGATTAAAGAAATCTTATATATTTAAACTGTGAAACTGAGCCTAACTCGTTCTACTTGGGTTCGCTCCGACTTTTCTTTTCGCCAGAGTAATAATAGAAATACAACAGGTATTATTGTGAAATATGTGAGGACGATCACGAGCTTAATCGAGTGACCAACACAATTATGGAGCTAAAAGGATAGTTTCACAGACCCATTAACAACCAGCAGAAAAATACAATAGAACAATGAAATGATTTATGGACCAGTCGCATGGAGTAGTCCCCTGTGGAATCATTCATTCTTATGTATTATGTACGTGGCGCGTCGTTACGTACCATAAACCGCGATCATTAATAATTACAGAAGTCACGTATGCGAATTACATCAATTATATACTTGTGTACATACAACCTCGCGTCAAATTGCGGGTTGTAATGTTGTATTCGCATTTCGCAGCTGCAGCGCAGCGCGATCCAGCGGGATCGAAGCAACATGCGCGAGAGAAGTCTAGGCTGCCTAGACGCTGCTATTGCTGCTAGGCGCTGACGCGCCTATTCGGAAGAACGGAACCGAACAACCGCCACCGCGTTGCGCGTTGCGCGACGCGATGGCGCAAGAGAGGGCAGCGGTAGTCGGGGTAGGGACGGTAACGTCAGCATGTCGCGCCTCGCTATCGTACGTAGAATCACGGACGAATCAAACATGGCGATTCGGTCGCTGTTTACGGTACGAGCATACGGTTACTAGTGCCGTGGTGGGTGGTACCAGTACGCGAGAGTGACTCTTCGACGTTAGTGCGTGATCGTGCCATCGCGTATTAACGGACCCCGGGACATATCGCGGGCATGGAGCTACACGGAACGGAAACGCCGACGAAGAAAGTGTCGGGCGACGCCGATGATGGAGAACGCGACGCAAAGGGCGTAGAAGCTGGGCCAACGCCTGCGACGTCATCGCCTCCGCGAGTCGAGCGAGTACCGCGATCTGCCGGCGAGAACACGGAGCGGAACGTCGATTGCTCCAACGGAAGAAATGTAAGGCCCGGTCGATCAATAAGTGAAGATAATAATACCAATATTTTTAAAATGCCTCTTTTATTCGCTGACAAGGTATTACATAGAACCAATAATTTATTCAAATTTATATGATTATTAAAATTTAAACGATTAAAAATTAGGTAAATTTAGCTTATATATCGCTCATTTGCTACAACAATGGATTCAACGGACTCAACAGTTGAGTGAACACTCACTGCTATTGGTGTATTCTTCTAGATCTAAACGTCCGATTGGATGATTTAGGGCCACTTTTACCAACTCCGATTAACTTAATCGACTGATTAGTCCATTGAAATTGGCCAATCGCCATCTGTCGTCAAACAAAATGGCAAATGCGATTGGTCAGTTTTAATGGATTAATCGGCCAATTAAGTTAATCGGAGTTGGTAAAAGGGCCCTTAAAAGAATACACTAATGCGTGGTCTACAATGGGCAGTAGCAGTAGTGGATTAAGGAGTAGACGCAGAAATCAACCAATCATAATCGAATGTGAGAAAGATAATCAACTATGATTAGTCGATTTTTGCACCTACTCCTTAATTCACTACTGCTACTGCCCATTGTAGACCACGCATAATGGTTGCGTCACCGACGAGATATTATACTATTAAGGTTTGTTCGCGTCGCAAGCTCCAACATGCTCCAACATGCTCCTACCATAGCTCCTACTCACTCTATCAAGCGCATTGGAGTGAGTAAGAGCTATGGTAGGAACATGTTGGAACATGCGACGCGAACAAACCTCTAAAGATCCTTACGGGAGTTCGCGTCCTTGTTAATATTGAAGTGATTAAGTAAAAAACTGATAATATTGTACCCATTTTATGATTTATTAGTTTAGTAGACGTGTTTATCGATGTATATGCATTTAAAACTCAATAATACTTGATTTTTCTTTAAAATTGTGATTTCAGTGTTATCGTCAAAGTTCGATTATCAACAGAGATGATAACTGCAGAGAAAAAAATTGTAATTTTTTGGCAATATATAGGATTATAGCTTTACAAGTATGCATATTTATTTATAGAGCATTTATGTAATAAAATATCATGAATTTAATAATGTATTAGCCAAATATTTATGTTAATAATAGCAAATTTATATCAATTGTCGATAATGTCAGCGTTCTTCAATTACCTCCGGGCTCTTGGGGCTCTTTTTATACCGCCGAAAATTTGCCCAGGGTTGACGGTCTTTAATAGTATCTCATCGGTGGTTGCATTCAGTAGACTCAACAGTTGAGTGAGCGCTCGCTATTATTCTTTTAGATCGTCCAATCAGAATTGTAGATCTAAAAGAATACATCAATAGCCGTGAGCTCTCACTCTTTTGACATATTCCATTAAATTCTAAAATATAGACCAATCAGATGAAAGAGCTCATTGAGCGCACTTATTTGTGTTCAGCAGAGAAAACTAATCAGTGAGACTTAGCGACTCTAATATAATTGGCCGCATGCAGCACAATATCTATTTTGCAACTATTGGAAGTTTTCTTCACTGAGATAAAACTATTTCTCTAGATTTAAAAGTTTAATTCAATCAGGATAAAGAAAACTTCCAATAATTGTAAAACAAACATTTTACGCTAAACGTGACCATTGGTTCCTTCTCTTAGATCCAGCGAAAGAACCAATCATTAAAAAAATCACTGATCACTTTTCTTTATTAAACGCAGCCATTGATTCATTTAAACTTATTGCTTGGAAAAATTTATTTTTTGAGTTGATTGTCATTATTGTAGCCGCTGAGATATATATGTATATATATATATATATATACACACGTACATATACATATATATATATATACAATATAATATTTCAAAATGTTGCAACGTACTGCAATATTAAAATATTCTGTGCCATCTGCGTTTACATGTACATGTATACTTACATCTTAATATTTAATTTTATTATTTTTATTTGGATTTAATATTCAATTTAAAATTTCTCTTTCATTATTATTAATGTTTAATTATCCATTCAAATGATAATTATGTAGTTAAAAAAATCGTAATTTTATGATAATATAATATTATTACGGTAAATATTTGTTCTTATTTATGAAGTATTGGTATAATAGCAAAAAAATGTTGAATTTAATGCATTATAAGTTAATAATTATTCAGATATTTCTGACATAGAAAAATTTGTCGACAATTGATAACGTCGATGCTCTTTAATTACTTTCGTGTCCCCTGAGGTGTCTTATAAAGTCTGTTCTTTTTAGCTAAAGTTCTTGCACGATTCATCTTTTTCTCCCTTTTCTCTCCATATTGGAGAGAAAAAGAAAAGGTGAACCGTGCAAGAAATTCAGTTAAAAAGGCCTATGATCACAAAAATCTATCCACAAGGATGGTATTCATAATCCATTCTTATTTCAAGACTGTCTTAAGTAATGTCTTAAGACGCTAATATGGCCCTCTGATTGGTTCATGACTTCTTAAGACGGTCTCGAATATAAGATCTAACTATGAATATAGGCCTTTATTAATATTTCGATGACTTATAGCGTTTTCGAGTGGAGTGGGTTTGAACCCGACCCGGTTTGGTTAACCCATGTTTGACCCGAAAGTATCTCCTCCAATTAGAAATCAAAGTAAAGCATGTGACGTCATCGATCCGACTCAGATTAGGTTCAAACCCATTCCATTCGAAAAACGCTATTATTTTACGCCTGTAAAAGAGATAATTATAAATGTAAAATTATTATATGTAATTATTGTAATTAATATATTTAATTTACTTAATATTATGCTTTTGTTATTTTGCAGCATCCAAAATCACTTGTAAACACCTGTGGAAGATTGGAAAGCGGTAGTGGCAGTGGTGATCAAGACGGTGGTCAGCACGAGGACGGAACAGACATCGCAGCGAAGAAGAGAAAAACTCGAAGAGGCAAACCCAAGCATAAAAAATTAAAGCCATATTCGAAGCAGTTATCTTATCAGCAACAATTGCGGAGCAAATGTATTGGTAGGATTGCTAAAACCAGTAGGCAACCACCAGCTTTGTACAATACCACGCAATTCCTTATGGCCGATCACAGCGATTTGCCTGATCTCGAGCAAAAATTATCAGAAGCTGCATCATTAGAAGTACCTGCTATGTTTCAAAAGCCACCGGCGCCGTCGCGTACTCGCGATTCAAGTTTCAGCGTAGATTCCGATGAGGATTACTTTTACTCATCTCCGGAGGATGAAGAAGAATTTTTAACGAAAGAATTTTCAACTGCGTACGAAGCTGTTCATGAGGAACGATTGAGCACATTGACAAAAACGGAATTGATAACGGAATATAAGCACTTAGAAGCCAAAATGGATTCATTAACAAAACGATTACGTAATAAGAGCATTCATCAAATTGAGGAAAGGGATTCGGAAAATAAAAATGTGTCTACTACAGATTCCGAGATAGCGAAGAAATTGAAGCTGTGTCAACAACGGATTGACGACCTGCTACAACAAAATGAGCAGCTAAGACGAGAGAATGAAATATTACGTACTCAAAAGAGATTACACGCGAGCAGCTCTGAATCTAGTGTCGACAGTGAAAGCGACAGCGACAGTTCTAGTAATAGTAATCAAAGTGGATGTAGTTGCTCTCTTTCGAGTCCAGTAACATCTCCTAAGCATACTTATAAATCTAGATTAGATAATAATATAAGAACAGATAACAAAAGCGATAGCTGCGATACTAGCCAAAGTGGAAGTCCCACAACATCTATAACACCTACTAATTTCTCTAACGGTCATGTAATTCTGAATGAAACCGGTAGCTTACCCACATAGATTTCGAAATTGTTCCTTGGTACGTATTGATATTACATTCGATATTACAAAATTATCAATACGGCAGGCTGCATCCATTCAATATATCTACAGATTTAAAAGAAGCAGATTCTTCAGTCAATTTTGTTGTCAAACAACATTTGATCTTTCTTCTAATATCTGCTAAATCTTGTTAAGCTATCGTTTCTTCATATCCCGTTACTATTTCCTGGTCCAATCTTCTTTCCCTTGAGACTGTATGTACGTACAGTCACACATGGATACATATATGTGTAACAATATAAATATAGGATTAATATTCTATAGGAGAACTATTCGTATCTGTTTGTGCTATTTTGTTATCTGCTTGGCAAAATATTTATCATACCTATCATGTGTATTTGCTTCTATCTCTCCTGTACTTTACTCTAGTATCGTACACATGGAATTTGTATTTTTCAGCCTGATTTTTTTTTCTTTTTCGCGTACTGCCAATTACAAGAGTTATGTTTGCAAATAAAGGTCTACAGACCATCAACTAACGCAGACCTATGTACATATACGCATGGGTAAAGTGAGAAGCGGATTCTTTTAGACTCATCAGAAGTATTATATGTATAAAATGTAATATTATCAAATGTGATGACCTATATTGTAAGAGGTTAAAAATCTTTGTACAATTGTATAGTTTTTAGACAGTAAGACGAAATGTTAGTTTATGGTCTGAAATTGTAAGATACGCAAAAGTGTTTTTCGCATTTCCAATTTTTAATAAATTTTATGTTTTGCTCCGACATGTATGTTTTAATTATAAACAATGATGTTTGGAATTAGTCTTTTTGAAGACTTACGCTATTTTTCCTTATATATTCCTAAAATTTTTCTTTGTATTCAGATTTTTGAAATATTCGAAATATTTTCTTAATAAAAAAATAAACTTTTTAAATTGTACGGAGTGTAGAAATTTGTTCTAGTTATCATCAGAACTGAGATCTTTGGTTTTTCTTTCTTTATAGATTTTCATGTTTATGTATAATCTAAAAAAATCTATTTCATTGAAATGGAAATACATACTATAATTTAAAATCTTCGTTTAGCACATCTTTACTTTTATTTGATTTTGATAATGCATATGTGTAAAACTATTAACGGTTGGTAAATTTTAAGATATTGATTACTCGCAAGTGATATATATTTGCTAATTTATCGTTGACATTCTTTTTACGTATGTTTACAATTATGGTTTTAGGGGTACGGTTAACTGTAGGCACAGTATATACAGTAGCGCAACTTTCCTGATTTTATGTTGGCAAAAATGGAGTGCGCATGCGCGAAATCAATAAGTTCCCCAGTAACTCCATCTAAACTTCTATCTCACTTCTTCCTTTTTCTGTTCTCTCTGTCAGGGCCATTTAAATGTTTTCGTTTATGTACCTATGACAGTTTATATTCGGAAAGCTCCAATTTGGAGGAATTGTGTGTTAGAATATTATTTTATAATATACATAATATTGAAAAAACTTTCGTTTTCTGAATTATTGTTATATTAAGTTTAAAATTTCTTTTATCTCATTTTTAGTTGATTATTTTTATTCTAGATGCACACACACACACACACACACACACGCGCGCGCGCGCGCACGCACACACACACACACACACACACACACACGCGCGCACACACATAAAAATTATTATATTTAATTTAATAAAATTATTATTAGATACTTTTTATAATTACAACAATTATAGTAATTGTTTTCTGAAACGAAATCTGTATAACATTAAATTTTACCTTTTATTGTTTATATTAATATTTTAAACATGCGGAACATGATGCTTGTATTTTTCTGTTGAATTGCTTACATTTGAGCTAGAAAATCTGCATTAATTCTGCATGGTACAATTCTAATAATTTTAAAAAACGCAAGCAATTTAGCAGGAAAACAAGCATCGTGTACCGATCATTAATTATATTTTTACAGTTTAATATTTATACCATACTTATATAATTTAATATTTTCTTATTTTTGTGTCTTTTTTTTTATTTTGCAATACATTACAATTATTAATGTATTTCTTTTAGTTTTTTACATTTAATTAATTTGCTGTACATACAAATGAACTAGAGCAGCTAGAAAGAAAGAGAGAGAAAAAGGAAACTAAAGAGCAAGTGAGATAGAAGTTTAGATGGCGTTACTGGGGAACTTACTGATTTCGCGCATGCGCACTCCATTTTTGCCAACACTAACATCAAAGGTGCCGACAGAGAGTTGCGCTACTGTATATACTGTGCTGTAGGGGTACTGTAGATTAAACAAAGACATCTATCGTATAGGTCGCGGACTAAACGCACGGTGTAAACATAGCCAGTGGGTACGTTTACACCATATGTTTAGTCCGCGGTCTATACAATAGATGTCCTTGTTTATCCTGTAAGTTAAACAAAGACATCTATCGTATAGGTCGCGGACTAAGCGCACGGTATAAACGTAGCCATTGTACGCGTTAAGTGGGGAGCACAGACTTTTGCATAACGCATAACATGTAATGCATAAGAAATTCAATCAATCAGAATTCTTTATTTCATGAAAAGGAAGGAAACGGAGGGCTTTGATTGGTACATTTTCTTATGCATTACGTGTTATGCGTTATGCAAGAGTCTGTGCTCCCCGCTATAGAAAGTACCGGTTCCCCATGAGGCGTACTTTTCGAGTTGCGTAGGTTACAAGAACCAATCGTAAATTCGTTTAGCATTTCTGTTAGAATGTACAACAGAAATTCTAATCAGCAATTGGTTGCATTAGTTTCTAGTAAATTACTAGAATACGCAGGTTACGCTTACGCAGATTACGCCGCATGTGACGGCACCCTTACTTATCACAAATTCATGTGTATTAATAAAAAAACCGTGTTACATGACGCGCAGCCAACCAAAATGTACACACACACACGCACGCGTACACACACACATGCACACGCTATGGCTGCAGTCGCTTTGTCGTTTGCAGAGCTGTGAACATCAATTGTTCTTGTTTAATATTTAATAAACAACAAGGATGAAACAACGCTTAAAGTGTGTGATCGCCAAAGCGAACACAGCCTAGAGTACACATACATACAGGGTCATCGAAAAGTATCGGACCCCCCTAATATCTTCAGTTAGAATGCATTTTGGAGAAAATGTCCAATAGCAAAGTTGTATGGTTTCAAGCGAGGAGTAAGATGATGACCTTGACTTTGATCTTGACCATGTCCTTTAAGGTCATTTCAAGGTCAACCTTATTTTTTTAAATGGAACCCCCTACATTTTATTGCATATTTTTATAGCTTATCTCGAGAGCTTTCCAAAACACTATAATAAAACATTTTTTCATTAAGTACTTTTTGAGTTATAAAGGTTTGAAGTTAACAATTTTTTGACACAAAATGTAAATCTTGTAAAATATTATTTAGTTTTCAGTAATCATAACCTTAATACTTTTGTGCGCGGAATAATGAGACCAATTAATTGGTTTAAAGAAAATACATTAATCAAAAAGTGTCGGATCCCCCTAATATTTTCAGTAAGTTACTTAACAAATTGTTAACTTCAAACCTTTATAACTCAAAAAGTACTTAATGAAAAAATGTTTTATTATAATGTTTTGGAAAGCTCTCGAGATAAGCTATAAAAATATGCAATAAAATGTATGGGGTTCCATTTAAAAAAATAAGGTTGATCTTGAAATGACCTTAAAGGACATGGTCAAGATCAAAGTCAAGGTCATCATCTTACTCCTCGCTTGAAACCATACAACTTTGCTATTGGACATTTTCTCCAAAATGCATTCTAACTGAAGATATTAGGGGGATCCGATACTTTTCGATGACCCTGTATATGTCGCCATTTTAAGAGCACTTCCGCTGAATGTCCAGACTCTACTTCTAGAGACTCTAGAATCGGGCTACGGCCTATACTTTTCGATTGTGTCTAATCGTGCCGTGGTGAGTCGTTGCTGGAAAGCATCATGTCGAACACTGTGTCAACTTGTGTATCATTTAAAGCCTTGATGGAAAGCACCTGCTTCTATTGTGTCCATCGTGCTGTGGCGTGTCGTTGTTGGAAAGAATCATTTCCGACACCGTGACGATGTCACCTAAAAACCTTGATGGAAAGCTCTCAATACCTACAAATCTAGTACCTTACAATTAGTAAGACACGAAATCACAGCAGCGGATCGCTTCTGATTGGTTACGCAGTTACGCGATACGCGGTAAATACGCCTCATGGGATTCCAGCATAAAGCTGGAAACACAATGAGCACAGGCAATAGGCACAGGCAACAGGGAATAACGAGCCTTCCAATCCTAGCTCTGGGGTATAAGTTCGATACTATATCCCAGAACTCTGATTGGAAGGCTCGTTATTCTCTGTGTCCATTGTGTTTCCAACTTGATGCAGCCACAGTAGAAGGAATAAGGAATAACGATTCCAATCTATCAGAAACCGTGTATTCCGGTGTATCCGATTTCTGATAGATTAAAATCTTAAAGGTGCATTCACATGCAAGCGTCAAGCAGCGGAAGCAGCAACCAATCAACGAGGCGATTTTTACAGTGGCGTAAAAAATATTTTTTACACCACTGCCCGTATCGTCTAGCTGATTGATTGTTGCTTCCGCTGCTTGATGCTTGACGCTTGCATGTGAATGCGTCTTCATTCCTTATTTCTTAAGGAGAGTTTATATTGGCCGTAACCGTATGCCGTAACCCCGGATTTACAATAGGGTTTTAAGCCTAAGCCATAAGAAATGGGCGAATCACAGTCGAATCCGAGGAGAATAATCGACTGTGATTCGCCCATTTCTTATCGCTTTTCTTATGGCATTTCTTAAAGCTTAAAACCCTATTATAGATCCTGGGTAATCTGTAAAGATGCCATTACATGCAAGCGTCGAGCGTCGAGCATCTGCGCAGAAGATTACTGCTGATTACTGCGCAGAAGTTTGAATCTCCAGACTCCTGCACAGTTTCTTTACGCAAAATAGTAAATTATGAGAGGTTATGTTCTGACATACATTACTATCCTAACATATAATGCTGAAAATTCATATTTATTTACATTATATAGTGTAAACTACAAGATTCCACTATTAGTGTATCTCATATAGTCGGTTATTAAAAGGTTGCAACACTTTTTTTCGATGGGTTTCGGAATGAAGCTTGCTCACCGAGCGATTGGTTCTTATGGATCCATAAATAAGAATCAATCGCTTGGTGAGTAGGTTGCATTTCGAAATCCATAAAAAAAAGTGTTGCAACCTTTTAGTAACTAACTATACATTAAATTCAATTTTAGTAAAATTATTAAACATATCACTGCGCATATTCTGATGCTCGACACTTGACGCTGCCATGTAAAGGCCTTTAGAATTGACTAATTGCTGGATTCACACTGCATCCGATTTTCGTTG